TGCTGAAAGTAAACACTATGTATGTTTCATTTTGGTTGAAGACAGAAGTTGGGAAGTAAAACATCCTACTGGCCTTTACCCAGAGCCTTGTTTGGCTACTGAAAAATTTTCTGGCTAAGAATTGATGTCATTACTGCTGAGCCTCTGGCTAAAAATAGCAAAATATTTTTTTTTTCCCCCAAAAAAGAATAAATGAAGCTTATCCTCTCTTTGAAAATGGTTTGCTATTAAACCAGGGTGCTGCCCGTCTAATTGCTTCTTTAATCTGGTCTCTATTTCTGTGTGGAATTCATGTAATTGTGTGTGTGATATGGAGGCAACCGGCTAATTTTGCAGCTGCTGCAGGAAACTGTTCTTGTGGTCTCTGTGGTGCACTATGGCACTGAGTAACATGCTGCCTTCTTCCCTCGAGCATGCCTTGAGCCCCTTTAAGTAAAACGTATTCTTAATTTGGCTATGTGCCTAACATTCAATCTTCTAACAGCATAGAGTAAAATATAATGCTCAACTGACTGGAAATATTCTCCAGATGTAATTCCCTGTGGTGGAAGGGAATATGCAATATCTAGAGTTCATACATGACCTATTTGGTGACATTCTTTAGTAAAGATGTTACTTTATGAGTTACTAAGATTACAATATCATTATAAAATGATTGCAGAGATTGAATGGTAATATCCTCTGAAACTACAGCAGAAGAGATTTGCAACTGCTATTGACTGGTTAACTTATGTTTTATACAAAATATTTAAAACATTTTTTTTTTTTCCTGAATTACATACAGTGTGTTGAAGAGTCTGCAAGAATGTCTGAGATGTCCATAGCCTATCTGATGCTGGGCTTTCTGGGAAACTTTCTGAACATTTCAGTGGTATATTGAGCAGGGCACCAGTACTAAGAATGATTGACTGTGACTAACCTGTATTAGATTTGAGTTGGAGAATTAGGCAATGAAAACATCTACATCCGGTTTTTAATCCCATGTGATGTTCTGTGACTGGTACAGAAAAATCTAAGAAATCTCCTGTTACTGATGTGCCTTGCACCCAAAGAGCTGAGGAGTCTTGGGAAAAGTATGCTTGCTCTCATCTCTCAGTGGTGACATCTCTGGATATGTACTTGAAAGCTCATTTTTAGGGTATTTGAGATGGATGCAAAAGGAAAAATACTGAATTATGTACATTTTATTGCTTTCTGGGTAAAATATTTTGAACTGAAACAATGAAAAGAAGAAATGTTATTCTTCTGTTGTCCAGACTACTGAAGTCTTGTTTTATATCAGCATTGTTCAAGGATTAAAGAACAGGAGAGCGGGGAAATAACTCTTGTTCAAAAAGGCTTATTTTCTATTGTATCACTGGCGGTTGCTGCTATTCTTACAGTAAAGACAGTTCTTGGGTATCAGAAGCAAGTTCATGTATGTGGGGTATAGGGATCTGAAGTTAAATGCACTTTGTGTATTTTGTGGAAAAATAAATCTATTTGTTTTAAATTGATAAAGGTGCTTGTATTGTGAGTGTGCTGAGGTGGACTTTGTGGAAGTAAAATTCCTTTTACAAGGCCTCAGCATTAAAAGGTCATGACAACCATATTTCCTCTGCAAATATGCTTGTGAATAATCTGTTTGTAACAGTTGTGCAGATATATTTGTATATTATAAGAGTTCAACGGCTGAAGCTTTGCAACATTTAATGTATTTTGCCTCCTGTGTGCTCCAAAATGTGTTTGTATGAACTTTTTTCTTCAACTTCTGTTCTTGTGGAGCTAGAACATTTATGGCCAGGTAAGTTTCTGAAGCAGTGGGAATGCCAGCCAGAGTCTCTTACTCCTTCTCCACCACTCCTCCTTGAGTGAAAAGCAAAGAGGTGATCTGTGCTCTTGCTGTGTTTGTAGCTGCTCAGGATGGTCTTGCACTCCTAGTGTTAATAGGCGTCATATTTTAGTCTTTTCTATTTCAATGTGTTACATTGAACAAAATGCTTAATCCAAAGTATTATTCTGCTGTTAATGTGGTGTCTTTCCAAGGGTTTGCAAGCATTAGTATAAAGAAATCTACCATTCAGTGAAGAATGAAGCAATTTTTGTATGCATACCTGCATGTATGTTGTAAAGTGTGTTGTATTTGTCTTGGATGAAAACTGGAGAACAAAAAAACATATTTAATTCAATAAATTCTGCAAAACGGTTTCTGTTATGTCCAAACCATTAGGATGCCAACTACCTAAAACAGTTGCTTTCCCTTTTGTCCTTATATTTGCTAAAGTCATGTGTATGTCTGGTAGCAGAATTTATTGCAAAAGCAGGTATGGTTTAACAAGGGAAAGAAGTTGTTAAATTGAGCTTCAAGCTACCTGTTTTCTGCTCGTAAAAATTATTTCACTGTTGTCAGCTTTATCTGTTGAAGTTATTGAACAAAATGAATTAAATGGGATGCAATATAGTATTATCAGATTGCAATCATTCTTAGAGTGTAAGAGACTGGGATGACGTGCAAAAGCACATACCGTCATTCTGTTCTGCAGAGGAGTCTTTACTTTAAAAGAAAGTGAAATACTATCAAAACAAAGTTTGACTGACTTTTTTGTGTATTTTTGATCTAACACCTTTTAGACCAATGGGATATGGTCTTGAAATTGACTTTATATTAAATATTTAGATAATAGCAATATCTTATAGATAGCGGTCTAACACAGTGTTGAATTCCACTTAACTAGCAAGTTGCCATTTAAGGGCAACTAAGATTTCTTTAGCACAAAGTCTGAAATGTCAGTGTTCATATTGCTATTTTGAACACTGGGAGGATGAGCCAATATAGATGTGTAGAATTCATGACAATAGGTTTGGCAGGCTTTGTGGGGATTCTTTGAAGAAATCAAACCAAAGACTTCTAAGACAATGCAGCAAAGAGAACAGAAAAAGTTTAGCTGTTCTATTGTTTGTGTTTTTCTGGAAATATTATCACTCACTTCATCCTGACTTAAAAAAAAAATAATCTCAGACAACTGTATTTTTGCCACCACTAATTCTTCCTGTGTTTACAGGTGGGTTAGATGGGCTGGTATGAAAAAGAAGACAGACATTGACAAGTATTTTGGGTATAAGGATAAGTGTGATCTGCACATAGGTGTTGAAGCCAGAAATCTTAAGACTTACATGACTGTCTGAAAACAGCTGCATGCTTGGCTTTTCAGATCTTGTGCAGCCCTCTTGCTCTGTCCCTAGCATATCACTGGGAATAATAATCTCCTCAAGGAATGGTTATAAGAATGGATTGGCAGTACACTGCTTAGGTATTTCTGGACCAAACTTTCCAAAGTGATCTTTTAGTGTGTTGTGTACTGAGAGGCAAACTAGGAAGTCCTTTGAATGGCTTCTGATCTTTCAAAAAAAATTTCTTCTGGAGTGAGTCAGAATGGTAATACAAAGTAGTGTTAGATCAAAGTATTAACAGTGGAATAGAAGAAATGAGATGTATTTGATCAAATTAATTTTACCTGAAAGGAGACAACACATTGTACATAAGACTATAGATGTAATGAATATTAAGCTGATTGTATCAATAGGAAAATGAGATTGTGATAGATTCTATAGTAGTGAAACTGGTGTAGCTTAAAACTGTAAAGAATATTTACTATATTGTGTGTTGTCGTTTATCAATGAGACAGAATCTGGACAGGAAACTAAATAATCCGTTTATGAAATGTTTCCTTTTTGTTTCCAATTCTCAGGTGTCCTACATTAGTCAAGACTGTGAAGAAATTCCAGAATTCCTAGGAAGAAAATATGGACGTATGGCAAAAAGGCTAGATCTTAGCTTCAACTTGTTAAGGTACGTGGCAATATATAGATTTTCACGTGCAATATGGAACACCAACTCCGAAATAGAATTTTTTTTTTTTTTTCCAAAGTAGAAACATACATGTATGTCAGGTACATTTAGTTATCAAGTGTGTGACACTGTTTTATAGGCAATGTTTGTCTACTTTTCTTGCACACTTGGAACACAAATAACCAGGTGAGTCTGAAAATTTCTTGAGTTAATATAAATGATGCCCAATGAGGAGCTAATGGTTTGTTCTCTGCTCAAAATGGAAAATAAACATCATTACCTGAAGAAGTGAAGAATGGGATCAAGAGTGAATTGTTCTTAACCAAAATACAAGTAAGTGTGTGCTTCTCTCCTTTTTATTTGTAGATCTCTGGTTATTACCATAAGTGGTTTGTAATACCCTTTTCCCAGATGATATTTTTTTGCTGTATGGTTTTATTTTTGGGCAGCTGTGTAGTTAAGTGCTAAAACTAAGTGCAGTTAGAATTTATAAATAAATTCTAATTATTTTAATATATGGATTGATTTAGAATTCTATAGTATTCCCATTAGTTATTACAGTATCCTTTTTCATTTAATCGTATCTTTCAGGTTGGCAACTCTGTAGGTAAGTAGGGAAAAAGGAATGGAGTGTAGTTGTCTTTAAGAAAAAGCACAGTTTTTCAGTGGTAGGGTTGGGCTCTTTTGAGTTTTATTTTATTGAGGGTAAGCTTAGAGTCTGCTTGTGAGCAGTAAGATACATAAAAGTAGTGTGCAGGTGCCTTGTTCTGCTAGGGGGAACAACCACTGGTTTTAACTTACTTAACACTCATAAATGTTATCCTGAGCCACTGTCAACTCTGAAAGACCGATTCCTACATGGAAGAGGTAGCAGAACAAAGGAGGCACTAAACAATCTCTGGATTGTTTTTGTCTTATACTTCTCGCTGATGACTCTGTACCTATGGAAACTGTAATCAGAAGAGAGAATTTTGCTGGGGAAGGGGATTGAATGAGCATTTTTTCTTATTTTCGTGAAGATAATTCAAGTTTTGCATGTGTATTCAGATTTAATGTCATCAAACAAGACTGTTCCTTCTTTACACCTCTGGAGGTACTGCCTTTAAGAAAAAAAAAAAAAAGTTTGTTTCTTTCATTTAATGCATGATTTGAAGAACAGTTCCTCTGAGTTCATTTTATTTCATAAAGTACAATATTAACATTAAATCTACATGTAATACCTAGTAGAAAATACCACTTTAAAACTTTAAGTCGTTAGTTCATGTTTTCATGGAGAGCTTAATTGGTGGTGTATTTCTCAAATCTGTGTTTTCATCACTTCTTTCCTTCCCTACCCAAAACACTCTCACTTAGCCTATTTTTCAGAAGGGATATTATTTGGTTTTATTAGGGCTTGGGGAAAAAAAAGTGTGTTAAAATCTTTTGTGGGGAAATGTGAGAGAAAGTGCTAGATTTTGCAGTAGCTGCAGTCAACTTTTGATGTAGGATAGCTTGCTGTTGTAAAGCTGTAAAAGTATTCTAAGGCCAGAAATCAGATCTGGGAAAAGGGGAGAGGTGGGGGGTTTTTTGTTATGTGGTTTTTGTCGTTTTTTTTTTTTTTTTCCTTTGTGAGCTTAGGTACTACTCTCATCACATTTAGTATTAGCTTAATGTTTTCTTATTTGAGATATGATAGATTTACTAAACATATAGAAACTCATAATGAAGTATTTATTATACAGTAACTGTTCAGACTGGTCTGCATTCATATATGAACACTGTGCCTGCATACTGTAGAGAGTCAGATAAGATGTAGAATAAATGTCATAGCCTTAAATGAATGTGGATATAGAATAGATGTCTTGGGCAGTTGTTAAAGCAAGTGTAAACAGTAAGATCACTGTTGTCTTTAAAGAAATATTATTGCTTGAAAAATCTGACAATGCTGTAGTATAGTGATGAGTTTTATGATTTTTATCAGTGAATGCTTAATTTGAAAAGTTCAGTTTAGTATGTTGTTTTCAGTGGGGAAGAAACTCTAAACTTAATGTCTCTTTAGAAAGGAGTTTGATTTTCTAGAAAAAACTTGCTATCTGTTGGTAAAGGTATAAGTTGGGTGAAGAAGACCAAAGGTGATCAAAATCTAGAAAAAGATAAAGAGAATATTGGCGCAGTAGTTATTTGCAGTAAAGATCTTGGTTTTCATTATAATGTGATTCGTTATTAGATGCGAGTGTGTGTATGTTCTTTGAAAGAAAAAATATTTCAGTGGTCACTAATTTTATAGCCTGTTTTTAAGCTAGAGAAATGCCGAAATATTCAACAGTTACCTGTCCTCAGTGTTAGGCAGTAAATAAATACTTACCGACCTTTTTTTTAATGGTATTTTGCATATAGAGTTTCTGTGTCCTATCCTCTGTAAGTATGGCTACTGCCAAGTGTATTTTGGGAAGGAATCATCCTCCTGTAGCAGGCAATAAATTCTGTTATGTAAAAGTGTCAATAGAATTTCTGACAACATAACAAGTACATTAAGAATTTAAGAAATTGAGATAGAGGGAAGATTTTTTTTTTATTTTGTGGGCAGCAGTATTTGCAGTCATGTTATTTGATATTGTTATCATGAGCGTAGTTGCACGGAGAGAGATATCTCTATGTCGTAGTAATGTGTTCAGCTTTGTGATCAGTTGGCAGCAAGCTCTTCTTGCTGAGGCAGTGCTGTACTTTTCGAACCAGAAGTCATGTGCAGTTGTGAGACTTGCAGTCTTTACTGTGCACGCACACACGTGCTTATCCACATAAGAGACTCTTATCAGAAAGATGTATTTGTACTGCCTGATGCAGATGTCACAAAACTTTCTTATGCAACTGATATAATGTAATACTTGATTGAACAATTGCTTTAGTGAATCGTACTGATTTTGATACCACTGTAATGTAGGTAACTTTGTTGCAAAAGTCAGGATAGATCCAGGTAAGTTATTTGCCATTTAAGGCTTTCCACTGCAAATGTGTGTTTTCAGAGGCTTATCCAGGTATACTGGAAAAAGGGTGGGAAGACTGAGGCTGTTAGTAAAGTGGGAAATTAGTCAAGCATGCTATATTTTGTGACTTACAAGCAAAAAACTTGTGCCAAGCTTGTCCCTTAATAACACATTTCAAGAAATGCTGTTGTGTTTTTCTAGGAAATATAGCTTATTGTGTACAAACCAAGGATTTTCTCCCCCCTCGCCCCCCCCCCCCCCCCCCCCCCCCCCCCCCTTTTTTTTAAACTTGTTGAGTTGATACGCATTTGGATAATAATTTTAAAAAATTTAGGGATATCTTCTAATTAATTATTGGTTGTTATGGCACTTCTGTCTGTCTTCTTTTTTTCTGCAATGAAGAGTAATTATGTGGACTCAATGTTCTTAGGTGTGGTAGTTTTGTTAGTCAGATTTCTCCGATTTTTTTTCTTTTTGGGTATGATGTAAACACATAAATGTACACAGGACCAGAGAACTAAATTGGAGGAGGGGAAGGGTGTTGTTAGTTCTTTTGTATTGGCAATTTAATAGAGAGGAAAATGTCTATTTTTCACCAATTTTTTCTGACTTCCGACTTTTCCTAGGCTAGAGCTCCTTTCTCTTTATTAACTAAAAATTAGGGCCTGTGTAGATACTTAATTGTCTTTACATCAGATGTGGTAAATCTAATAGCAACGCTTGATTAAATAATCACAAAAAGTTGTTCTTCAAAAGAATTGTCTGTCTTGTTTGCCTTTGTCCAAGAACTAGTGTCTCTCCTTGATTACCCTGAGCGATGCGTGGATCCAGCTGTCTTTCTTCTGGCAGCCGAAGCAAAGTGACTGTTAACAGTTGCAATGGTTATGCATCTCCCCTTTTCCCTGGGAGGGAAAGGAAAGATAGAGGTGAATGGCAAAAGGGAACTTTTTGTGGGGATTTTGGGGAAAAAAGAGGAGTAATAGCAATTTGTTGTGTGTAAAAACTGGTGTGCGCTTAAGCATGCGAGTTGTAATCAGCAAGATACGGTGCCACTGGATTGCCTCCTGTTTACACCTCTGGTGGATGGAAATCCTTCAGCCCCAGACCACTATAGTCCACTTGTGAATTATTTCTTCTCATGCTGTTTTCCTTACAGGTTTTGTTTAAATATTTTCTAATGTCTTTTGTTTCCTTTTGGGACTAATGGGGGGTTGTGAAGAAGATGGAGCCAAGCTCCTGTCAGATGTACAGCAAAAGGACGGGAAGCAGTCATCACAGGTTGCAGCAGGGGAATTTCCAACTGTTTGTAAGAAAGGCTTCATGATGAGAAAGGTTGAGTGGAAGAGGTGCCCAGAGAAGCTGTGGAATCTCCATCCTGGGTGATGGTCAAAGCGCAACTGGACAAAGTCCCAAGCAACCTAATCTAACTTTGAAGTTGCCCTGCTCTGAGCAGGGGATTGGACTAGATGGCCTCTTGATGCCCCTTCTGACCTAAATTATACTATGATTCTGCAGCTTTATTGGTGTGGTCATCATCAAATGGCCTGAGTTATAGCAGCTCTTTTGATTTGATATTGGTAGTGATTTTCAGCTATTTTAGAAATGAACTATTTACACCGTGTGTTTTCAATAAGGCATGTTTCAGGAACAGAGATGTTTTACTTTGGAAATCTGCTCCTGAGTCTCTCATGGCAACTGTATTTGATAGCCTTCCCTGATAACAGAGTACTGTAAAGGCCACTCTTTTGTTTCATAATATGTGGAAAGCATTCCTCGGTTCCCATTTAATGAACACATAGAGTATGGGAAGGAAAGTCACTGATGCGTTAGTGTTAGTGGGAGGCTTTACTGAAAAGGATTTCAAGGGGGAATGAAAAACTACCATTGATCATTGAAAGTTAAAGATTTCATTGGAAAAAAAAAAGGTAAATAATAATCACTGGTGAAGGAAATAAAGGAATAAATAAGAAGGATGTAAGGTAGGTAGGGAGTAGAGATTTGGATGAACTACAAAGTAGTGGTTTTGTTTTGTTTTTT